AGTTAAAACACTTTATCAGCTATTTTATCATTCTGTAATTGTTTCACCTGTTAGGTCTCATCTCCCAATAAAACCAAGGATAAGAACTTCCTTATACTTCTTTCCTAAACCCAATGAACACAAATTGTGTTATATAGAAGAGGTACATATCCCAATGACACTTTCAAGACTAGCAGGGCTGAGTCTACATAACTTAAAAAAATTGTTGGCATATGAATCAGGCACTTTATTACCCATTTAAAATAAGCTGTATGGTAATTCTCTTCCCTTTCCAATGTGTGTATTGGCTCCTTTGAGGTAAGTGTATCTTCTCCTTCCCATTTACTACTTCAGTATTGTCCACAGTATGGAAGAAAAATGTGAATCATGATAGCCTACCGATATTGAGTATCTGACATTCAACTAAACTCTAACTTATTTTGAACACACAATTAATTACTTAGCTCATTTTAGAACTATGTTAAAAAAAGAATATTCCTCTCTGAATTTATTCGACATATTTTAATATAGTAAAATATCCTATAAACTATGGATTCATAGTTTCATTCATTCAGTAGTTTTTTTAAAATTAAAATCCACTAGTGATCAATATACTTCATATAAACATTTGGAAATAAATAATTTCTAGACTAATTTACTGAATAAGTTAAATGACATTCTACAAAATGTAGAACTTAGAAAAATAGCAAAGTGTTCGGAAATCCCAATTTGTGTAACTTGGTAAAAAGTGCAAAAGGAACAAGATGTTGATGAAAATATGAAAAATCGTTCAAAGTTTAACATAACCCCTAAATGGCTCTTGGATTTATATTAGAAAAGTGCATTCAATTTAAACAAAAATAAAGTAAAACAAGTGACCCCATTTACACAGGTTTATCATTCTGACATTCAAGCGTTTCCATATTATTATTGCCAAAGAGTTTTCTTAAACTTTAATGTTTTTAGCAAAAGTACCTCAATTAGAAAAAAATATATAGTCCAGTAGTGTATTATTTGAATGTTGATTAATTACAGAAAACATTTTCCTAATAGCACAATTTTTTTTTTAATTAAGATATTTTTTCCCTCCAACACTTTAATTTTCTAGTGGCGTAACATTACAAACAAAACCATGTCCCAAAGTTTCTAAATACCATTGTGTATTTTTGGACCAATGCTGGGGGGACTATTTTATGTACCAACCTCTGCCATAATATGTTCTTTCCAATAGTTAACAATAGCCAAAAGATTCTGAAAACAATCTGAGAAGAATCCATATTATAACTAGTTTGTAGGGAGTCACATGTAAAACCACAGTTCCTGAGAATTTTATATTCATACAGATAGGGAAAAAAAATTCACAAAATTTTAGTATTTCTTTCCCCACAAACAAGCAAGCAAACAAAAACCTCGTAAGTGGCTATCTGGCAAAATTCAGGGCAAAGGGAGAGAAACCATCTGTCTTGCTGACTTAGAAATTAAATTTAATGTGCTATACCTTAAAATGTCTAAGGTATAGGAAACATCTTCAAGTGTTCAAAACAGGACAAATGTTTAATTTGATTCTCCATTAGGAAGGACACATAATATTTTCTAAGTAGAGGGAAAAACCCCCTAAATCATTTAGTTTAAATGAATATTGAAAACTAAAAAATATTTCAAAGAACTGATTAAGAATATACTGCATACACAAAATAGTTGTTTAACAGTAAGACTTTTACTAATTATGCATTATGCAACAGACATAGTTTCATTCTTCCAACAGGAAGTATTTGTTTCTGGGTATTGAAATTTTCATTGGCCTTGAAGAAAGTAGGCATCGATGATGTAAATATCTTAACATAATTTATCTTTTCCTTCAAAAATCTCTGCCATATTCACTTTACATACCACACACACAAAAATAAAACTGAAAATAATCCAAATGTCTAACAATAGGTGTATACCATACATCAGAATACTGTACAGTGGCTTTTCATTTTTAAAAAACACACAACTAGATCTACATTATTAACATGAACAAATCTCCAAAATAACGTTGAGTGAAAAATGAAAGTTGCAGAATACATGTAAGAGTACGAGGTCAATTGTATCAGTTTAAAAACACACAAAAGACTACATATTATTCATGGATACATACATATGCAGAAAAGGTATAAAAGCATGTACAGAAATAATACACATCAACTTCAGAATAGTGGTTACCTACAGGGAAGATAGAGAATGGATAGAATGAGATGGGTACAAAGGGGGCTTTAACTCTACCCACAAAGTTGAAAATTACAAAAAGATTTGAAACAAATATGGTATGTTAACATTGTTCAATCTGGTGGTGTTACACAGAAACTCATTATATTATTCTCTATACTTTTTAATTTTGAAATCTTTCATAATAAAAATAAAAACATTCACAGAATAAAGAAAAAGTTGAATCACCGCTGCCATTTCCAGATGAAATAATTTTGTATGCTAAAACACAACACAGGTTTTCTTTTCCCAAATAAGACAATAAATATTAACAGAAAACATTATATAATTGACAATGTACACTTTTGTAAAGAATCACTGATTATTATATTAAAAAATACAACAATTAAAGAACAGGATTTCAATGCTTCTACTTCAAAACTCTACCTTTGCTTGAGTTAGAGGATCTAATTTCACACCACAAACAGGCTTTCCTTGCTTTAGAGAGTACCCCTTTGAATTTTCTTGTATGCCACTTCCTTTAAATGTGGTTGAGAATAAAAGGCTTAGTGTACAACAGGGTATAGCAGAGACCTAGCTAACTGTAAGTTAAATAAGACTAATGAATACATTGTATTCTCATATAAACTAACAGTAGCTCAATTCAAAGATAATAAATTATTTCCAGTACATAAACTTTCACTTTTCAGTTTGAAACTTATAACCTGTAAGGGAAATATATATGGTCTGTTACTTTGTTTACCAAACATTTTTTCTTGTCAGGAAAGCTTTCCCATCTTTGTCAGATTAATACTTCCTTGATCACAGATGAAGTCTTTCAAATTAAAGATAAACAACTACTTGCCTGTTGTTTCTGATATGCAGTGTTTGGATTTATCTTTGATTCCAAGAGTAGTGATCCTGAAAGATAAAAAAAAATAACAACATGTATAAGTTTCAATTTATAAAACCTGAATAAAAAAATCAGAGTCCACATTAAAAAAAAAAAAATCATTGCATGTTCCCTTCACTCAGCTAGATATCTGAAGTATACACATTTTTCTCTCCAGATCCGAACTTCATATTTAATTTAGAACATATCATCCTATTCCAAGAAACCCTTATATCCACCTAAGATAAACATTCAGACCAAGAATATAAAGATGTAATACTTTAAAACAATAACGAATTTAAATAAATAAAAAGACTATAAGGAGACTTGATGACTATTAAAGTTTTATTGAAATGAAATTTTAAGGTCTAAATGACCACTTGAAGCCAAACTCTTTTTTAACAGTTATTTTATTGCATTGCCAGTTTAACAAATAAATTACAAAGGACCACAACAAGTACACAAATTACAGAACTGCTTTTCTCCTTTTCTCCTTAAGAACAAAAAGGACACTGCTTGTAGACATAAACGCCCGTGACTATTTTTAAAGGAAAAGTACAAGCGTACAAAATACATCACGAAGCAATCTAAGGTGGTTTATGCTCCCACTGTCTGCACATAGTTCCAGATTACAACGAGAAAGGCGTTTTAACTACGACCGTACATTTCATGATTTAGGAACACTTGCCCCAGGACTCGTACAATAAATACGTCCACGAATAACGTGGAAAGAATCCACAGACCCCCCCTACCCGCCGCAGGGACCCCGCCGGGAGGCGTCTGTGCTCGCGCGAGTGCACCGTGGCCACAGCCGGCCGTGACCCCGGCTTTCACAGGCGCCTTCAGGTTTCCCCCAGCACCTGTCGACTGTGGCAACGGGGGCACGGTGGGAACATCCGTTCAAGAACAAAGACTCGGAAAGGAAAGTTCCGCTGAACCTTTGGTATCAGACACAGACTAGGTAACAACAGAGACAGGAGGGAGCAGGGGCTCCCCAACGAGGAGCGATCAACACCCCGTGAGCTTCCTGCCCTCTCCTTCGCGCTCTCCCTTCTTCAAGAGAAGAGACCGGAGAGGAAGGGGTCAAGTCCTTAACCGGGACAGGAGGCGGGGGAACAGCGCACAGGCGTCGGACCGAGGGTGAATCCGGACAAAGTCGTTTGTTTTTACCGGACAGAAGTGCGGAAACAAAACCCAGCTCCATGTCCGAGGCGGCAGTCCCAGCACCCGCCTCCGGCCTCCCCCGCAGGGCTGTGCCCTACCGGGAAGCACTCCCCCTCCCGAGCCTACCGTCCCAAAACCCTTACCGTCGGACTCCGCCCGAACCAGCAGCGACATCCCCTTGAGCTCCTCCACGTAAGTGGACGAGACGTGCCCCGTGCCTCGGTCGTCCCATTGCCGGTCTTCATTCAGGGTATAGACCTTCACTCGCCGCCGCGTATCCGACATCGTGGCCGCTGTCCCCACCGGTCCAGACGCCGCCTCCACGTCCCCCTCGTCCTCGCCCCTCACTCTTGAGAAACGGTAGCGGCGGCGGCTCCGGAGAGGCCCAAGTTCACCATGGCTCTCAAGGTTCAGCCGCGGAAAGGGGCAACAAGAGCCACCGGGACCTCTCGGCCGGAGCCCCGGGACCTCTCACTGCACCCACACACACACACACACCCTCCCCTCCCTTTGCCCCCCAGAGCTCGCTCGCTCTCCCGCCGCCGCCGCAGTAAGCACTACACATCCGCCATCTTGTAACCCGATTCTCTGCCTTTCTCTTCCTCCTCCAGCAGGCTCGCACGGGCTGTCCTAGCAGGGGCTACGGCGGCCGACGCGGCCAACGAACCGCCGCTCAGCTTCTGCTCGCGCTTCCAGGGCCAGCAGCCCTAGGCGTTCTCGCGAGGCGGGGTGCTGAACCGAGGTGGGCGGGCCTGAGTGCGCGTTCTTCCTTTCTTGGCCACGCCTGCTGGCGCGGGATCTCGGCCGAGGTAGTGGTTCTCGCGATATCCTCGCCCCCCGGCTGGTGACGCGAGACTTTCTGAGTAGGCGGGGAGAACTGAGTCTTGGTCTCGCTTCGCCCGATTTGCACTCGGCGTGTGACATATCTTCGAGGAAAAGCAAAACAAACATGGGAGGTACGCAACCTTGGACGGGACTAACCCTGAGCAAAAAGGAAGGAGATGTGCTCGCACTCCGTAGTGGAAGCTCCCTCTGTCAGCTATGGGAGGAAAATAGTTGAAACTTCTTTCTGTGAGAATGTAGGAACGTGGAGTATTTTCAGGCAATCTGAAAACCAGATTGGAGTCTGTTACAGTTAAGCATCTCCTCAGGAAGTGTTTGTTCTCTGCATCTCCTGAGGATTATAACGTCGTACCGAAAAAAGGAAAAAGTGTTGACATTTTCCTATTTCCCGCCAAAGCGTTTCGCCGTTAACTTTGGTAGCTGGCCATTGGGAAGCGTACTTTCCGCTTCATGAAAACACAGACCCCGTATGGTGGTGTAACCTCAGAAAATAAGCCTTACTAGTAAGATAAGTTTAGGGAACTGGTTGAGAGCCCCCTTTCTAACACATCCAAGGGCATTGTTTTGACGTTTTTAAAAAGTGTCTCTTGGCATTTCTTGCGCTACGTATCCGGGTGTCTTGTGCACTGAATAAGCGGAGGAGGAATTCCCGGGGCATTCACGTTAGTCGTCAAACATTGGTGGCGACAAGACGTGCACTGCGCAGTTGTTTATTTTAATCCCCGTTCGTTCTTGGTAGAATCCTTTTATTCCTTCTTTAAGACAGCTTCGGCTTGTTCCGCCGCCAGTTCTCTGCAATCCATTAGCTTGAAAGGTGAAAATCAGGCAGGCGAGATGTACGTGTTGACCCTGCAGGGCATTCTGGGAATTGTAGTCATTACTTAATGGTCTTGTCAAAACGTGCTTTTGTTTTGACTAGCTCCTCTGTGTGGACACCCTTCCGCGATACTTTAAAACGAGAGACAGTGTTTTACACAGAGCAGGCGCCTGATAAAAAATAAATCCTAATATCAAAATCTGAATACACAGGGTTGTTTTTTAAATGTAAAGAGGACCTCGGAACCCATTAATTGCTATGATTGATATGGAAAAAAGGCATTTTGAACTCCGAGAAAACATTTCTGTCTTGGGTCAGAGCAAGCTTCACATAGATAACTTTGAGCCTGATGTTGGAGGATCCCTGAATGGGAGGTTGGTTTGCAAAGGTGTTCAAGGCTGAGGGGATAGGGCAAACAAAGTGATAATGTGTTACTGGCCTAAAATAACATATAAATTTATATATGTCAAAGGAATGAGAACTATACAGAAGTCACTTTATGTGTTAAGAGTTTAATAGCCTCTGGGCAAAATTGGGAAATAATATGAATCATTTTCTGAATTTATTAAGTCACTCAATAAGTATTTGTTGAGCCTATGCTATACAGTAGACATTGGTCTATCCAGTGAATAAAATAGAAAAAGCTCCTCTTTTCTAGTGTAAGAAGACAAACAAATATATGCCAGGTACTGATAAACATTATGACCAAAAATAGAGTAACAAAAAGGTTAGCAATTTGGGACTTCCTGTTTATTCAGGAAGTCCTCTGAGGAAGGCAATCGGGCCAAGCTTTTCCCCAGGGCAAGAGAGAGAGAGAGAGAGATCCAGGAACCTGGAAGCAAGTACAAAGGCCTTATGGCTGTTGCATGTTGAAGAAGTGAGTGGGATAGCAAGGAAACCAGTGTTACTGAAGTGGAGCAGAAAAGGGGGAAAATGGTGAAAAATAAGGTTGCAATTGGGACAGGGGATATTTTGAAGGGCCTTGGATTTTACTTTGAATGAGTTGCAAATCTGTTGGAGAGTTTTGAAGTTATGTTTCAAAGCAACTCTCCCATCTTCAGAATTTCTTTTCTGCTATAGCCCCTGAGATCTGGTGACTGAGAAATAAAGGAGCAGATTAAACCCCTAGGACTCATCTCATGCCTTACTAGATCCTCAAGTACAAGTACTGCAGTGGGTCAGAGGGATTCACTCTCACCTACTGCAGTAGGCCCATCTAACATTTGTAGAGATGGACATTTGCAAGGCCAGGGCAAGTATACAAATGGAAGACCGTATACCATAAGTCTAAATATTTGTAAGTTTTAAATCAAGCTAACTGTTGAAATATATTTTCTCCAACCTTTGGTATACTTTGACAAATATATTTTCATAATGACCTGGAAGCCAGAGTCACATCTAGAATTCTTGATTTCCTTAAGTTCCAGAGTCTCCCTCTGGGCCCGTATAGTCTGCCTTCCTTCTCTTCTCACACCTCAGCTCTGTCCTGCAGTTTGACAGTCCTTAGTTGCACACAGAGGATACACCAGCCTTTTGCCCAAGCTCTGTCTACACTTCCTGAATATAGTCAATCCCCCCCTTGGCCACTCTTCAGGAAGATAGAACTTGCGAAGAGGACTATGTAGACCTTGGAAGCAGGCTTGGCCTTTGGGGTGGACACATTCCTTGGTTCCATGGACTTCATCACCCCAGGGGGAGAAGCATGGATAGAGAGCCAGAACAGGTCCTTCTAAAACACAGGGCCCAGTGGTTACTTGGGTCTGAGGGTAATATTGCACTGAAACAATGTGTTTTCCCCAGTAAAGGTTCTTTTCTTCAGTCATCACAGTTCCACTCCAAGGACAGATATATTTATATAATTTATATATAATCTTATATAATAAAAGCCTGATATGCTAATTGTCCGGTCGTCTGTTCAATCAAAGCGTAATATGTTAGTGATATGCTAAGGCTGCTCAACCACTCGCTATGACATGCACTGACCACCAGGGGGCAGACAGTCGACCAGTCAACCAGTCGCTATGATGTGCACTGACCAACGGGGGCAGTCGACTGGTCGACCAGTCGCTATGATGTGCACTGACCACCAGGGGGAAGACACTCTGGTAGCTTAGCTTGCTGTTGGGGTCTGGCCTATTGTGACTGAGCGAGAAGGGCCAGACACACCCTGGATCCCTCCCTGGCTGGCCAACCTCCTCTGTCCCTCTCTAGGCCCGATCGTGCACCGGTGGGGTCCCTCATCCTGGCCTGCACCCTCTTGCAATCCTGGACCCCTTGGGGGATGTTGGAGAGCCAGTTTTGGGCCCATCCCGATCCCGCAGGCCAGGCCGAGGGACCCCACTGGTGCACAAATCCGTGCATGGGGTCTCTAGTGTTTATATATTTACTAGTACATCTACCACTTTTTAAAAAACACGAATAATGGAATATCATATGCACTGTTGCACAAATTAACCCTAGTGTATTTAAATCATCTGTTTACGTATATGTATGTCATTTCAATAGTTTGTATTTCAAACAGAAATGATTGTACGGAAGTTATTTCATGTGTGCCAATACAGTGGGGCCTTGACTTACGAGTGTCTCGACTAACGAGTTTTTCGAGATACGAGCCCGTCTCTCGGCTGATTTTTTGCTTTGAGTTGTGAGCTAAAATTCAGGTTACGAGCCATCTTCAGATACCCCACCACTAGTTGGCGCAGCGAACGTCACAGTGAAAGCCACAACCTCAGCCCAGCATTACATGTCTCACTCGTTCACTTTATGATTTGACATACGAGTAATTTGAGTTACGAGCTCCGTCACAGAACGAATTAAACTGTAAGTCAGGGCCCCACTGTATATTTGTAGATTAAATTCCTAAAGCAGGTTTTTTAAACCTTGGCACCACTGATATTTTGGGCTGGATAATTCTTTGTTGTGAGAGGCCATCCTGTGCATTACAGGATGTTTAACAGCATCCCTGGCTTCTACTCACCAGAAGTAGAACTGTACCCCCTCCTCCAGTTGTGAATACCAAAATGATCTCCCATCATTACCAAATGTCCCTTGAGGACACATTACACTTTTAAAAAAAATTCTTGAGGATTTAAAAAATATATATTGTTAATCTCTACAGGATAAACTAGATTCTCAGTCTCATTGACCCATGTCTTTGAAATGTGAAGCTTTCTTTTTTTTTTTTAATGAAATAACGTTTATGAAAGTTTTTTGCTATATATTCACTCATTTTTTCCTGAAGGTGATCTATCTAAAAAAAATAGCTGACCTCCAGACAACATTGCATCCTGCTTACTCATGAACTTTCTGGACCATTGCCCACAACCAATCCATAAAGCAACAAGTAGTTCTTCCTTAGGGACTATTCACCTATCCAAGAACTTTCCCCATTTTGCCTTTTCCCACCCAGTCTTATCAATAGCCAGTGTAAATTCATTCAAAACAACTTACATCTTCCCCAGACTCTTTATATAAGACTTGTCTACTCCATCGAGCCCTGCTGCTGGAGGTTTAGACTGCACACCCTAGGCCAGTGATGGCGAACCTTTTGAGCTCGGCGTGTCAGCATTTTGAAAAACCCTAACTTAACTCTGGTGCTGTGTCACATAGAAATTTTTTTATATTTGCAACCATAGAAAAAACAAAGACTTATATTTTTGATATTTATTTTATATATTTAAATGTCATTTAACAAAGAAAAATCAACCAAAAAAATGAGTTCGTGTATCACCTATGACACGCGTGTCATAGGTTCGCCATCACTGCCCTAGGCCCTGGTGCTTTCTCTGGCTAACATGGCTCAATAAACTCTTTCAGGATTACTTTCGGTTTGGAAAAGTTTTAACAACCAGAAGCCTTATCAATAACAATCAGTCGATTAATGTATTTTGTATGTTATATTTTATTTACTATCTACACTAATAAAAGAGAAACATGCAAATTGGTGTCACTGCTATGCCCACCAACCAATCAGAGCGACTATGCAAATTAACCCAACAAAGATGGCGGTTAATTTGCATACGCAGGCCGAAGCGAAGACTGGAGTCTCCAGCCAGAGTGAAGACTGAAGACTGAAGAGGCTTGGCTTCTCCACTGCGGCTGGACCAAAGGCCTGGGTCCTGGGAGTCGGAGGAAAACCGGTGCCAGCAGCCAGGGGAAGGAAGGCCTATTGCTCGAATCTTCGTACAACGGGCTTCTAGTATTCTTATAATAAAGTTAGCTAAAGAAAATATTCTGAAAATACATTCACAGTATTTATTGAAAAATGCCTGTATTAAGTGGACCTGTGCAGTTTAA